AGAGAATAACAGAGTCGGAAGGGCCCTCAGAGGTCTTCTAGCCCAACCCCTTGCTCAAGCAGCAGACCCTCTAGCATTTCAGACAAATGGTTATCCAATCTCTTCTTGAAAACCTCCAGTGATAAAGCAACCACAACTTCTAGTGGCAAGCGGTTCCACTGGTTAATTGTTCTCACTGTCAGGAAATTTGTTTCAATATTTGAGGGGCTACCCCAAAGAAAAGGGGGGGTCAGTCTATTCTCCAAAGCCCCTGAGAAGGCAGGACAAGAAGCAACAGATGGAAACTAACCGAGGAGAGAAGCAACCTGGAACTAAGGAGAAACTTTCCAACAGAACAATTAACCAGTGGAACAGCCTGCCACTAGAAGTTGTGGGTGCTCCAACTCTGGAAGTTTTTTAAAAGACGTTGGAGAACCATTTGTCTGGAATGGGATAGGGTTTCCTGCCTGAGCAGGGGTTGGACTAGAAGATCTTTAAGGTCCCCCAACTCTCTTATTATTTTGTTTTTCACTTCCAATGCTCCGCGATGTTTCAAATCACTCTGGAAAAAAAAACCAGTTCCCAAAAACAAACTAGGAAAAATAGAAGCCGACTTTGGGAGCCAGGAAGACATTCGCACACTCACCCGGTCGGTGCTTCCATGATGCACTTCCGGCTCTGGGGACGGATGGAAGTGTTGCAGCCGCAGCCGTCGCTGTCGTGGGCGAGACCGAGATTGTGGCCAAGTTGGTGTGAAAGCGTGGAAGCCATGATTAAGGAGCTAACGGAGTGGCCCTGGGGCGGAAAACAAACCAAGAATCAGGAAAAGGGAATTGTGCACTTCCAGCTTCATTCAAAACAACTAATTTCTAAAGGCCTCGACGTATAACAATTCATTTAGCAACCGTTCGACGTTCAAAACAGCACTAATAAGTGACTTACGGCCGGTCCTCGCCCTTACGACCATCGCGGCATTCTCATGACCCGGGGGTCATAATTCAGAAGCCAGCTAGGAAGTGGTGTTCACACCATCCCGGGATGCTTGTAATTGCCGTCAATTGGTGCCAGTTGCCAGGTTTCTAAATTTCAATCCCTTGACCGTGGGAATGTTGCGACGGTCATAAGTATGAGGATTGGTCGTAACTCCCTTTTTAAAGTGGCTTGTAACCTGGAATGGATGCTTAACGAAAAGGTCGTAAGTGTCAGGATTCCGGCCGTTGCTCTGATTAAATCATGAGCCTTGAGCCACACTCCCAAAACTTGAAAAGATTTATTTGAAGTTAACGTTCTACGTCCTGCACTAACCTGGGCGTAGCCGACTCTGAGATACGTAATTCACTGTCTGTCACCCTTGATCCTGCTTTCCCCCCCCCCACCCCTCTGGGTGTATCATCCAACGAAACACATCCCTAGCCAAGAGTCGTCAATCATGCTCTCCAATTAGATTTTTGCACGACAGAAGCTTCAGTCATTGAAGAAAACATGAATGGAATGTACTTTCGATTCCACACTGCCGCCTGCTCTTTGAAACTCCCCACTTCTTTCTGTTGTCAACTATAAAACATGTATACAGTATTGTTTTATGAGTTGACAGTAAGTTGAGAACCATCTGTCTCCCGAAAGCGAAGATTTTCGGAGTTTTCTTTAACCAGATTTATTGAAAGGGAAACAAGCATGAAGTTTAAAGGCCACCTCTAAAATTTAGCACACCTAATTTATCATTGGGAATCTTTGATCTTGCTAACCAGCTGCGGTTGTTCCGGGGTAAGCGGCCGAAGGGAGTAAAAAACAAAAAAACAAAGGGACCCTGGCCATGTTTTTGCAAGCTCCCTCTCCCCCGTCGCCGAGAAGCGCCCCCCCTCCTCTTCAACTCACCATGCTGATCCCACCGGATCGTTTAGAGCAAATGGATCCTTGGGTCGACGCGCCGATGACCCCGGCGGGAAACGGAGGGCCGCTATGGCGGAAAAGAAAGAGTTTGCATGAATAAAGCCCCCCCAAAACAAAAACAAAAATTAAACTCAAGAGTTCTTTGGTTTTGCAGGAGTTGTACCACAATGGTTTTTAAGCGGGTTGGAAGTTTGAAGGACCCCCGTAATGAGGATTTGGGGTTTGGTGGGAGGGGTTACCCCACGTTTAACAGGCAAGGGGAAATGCCCCCCCCCCCCCAGTCACTTGGGAATCTTGTGGTAGCAGAGGGAAGGGATAGGAGGAGACTAGCTCCTCCCCTTAGCTTTGTAAGACCCACCCTCTGCAGAGCTCCACCCCCCCAGCTTCTGGATTCTGGCACCCAAGTGGCTAGTCCCTTTGAAGGATGAATTCATATATACACCAACCCACAGAGGACAATCGCCAAGCGTGGTTTCCCTTCTGTGCGTTTTGGGGTTTTCCTTCTTTTGTAATTTTGTCTCTCCTTTCCTTTTTTTTTGTTTTTCCTTTTGCCTTTGTGTATGTGTGTGTTTTGTGTATGTGTCAGTGTTGACTCCTAGCAAATGCCTGGAGTGGATCCTGCAGTTTCCTGGACAAGTTTTTTTTGCAGAAAGTGCAAATGATAGACTCCTGTTCAAGCATTGGGTTGGACTAGATGACCTCCAAGGTCC